GTGTCATCATTGTGCCCTGGTCGCCCTTGCATGTCTGTACTTCCCGGATTGTTAATACATGGACCGTTTGAGAGAGAGAGAGAGAGAGAGAGAGAGAGAGAGAGAGAGAGAGAGAGAGAGAGAGAGAGGGGGAAAGAGAGGGGAAGAAAGGAGAGAGACGTACCAATGACTTCACCCGGCTTGGGCTTGTCCTTCAATTTCCATTGAGTTCCCAGAATCAAGTACATGTGAAACCGCTGGACCTGCATGCATGCACCACAACGCAACGGCATAGGGTTGGCTTCTGGGCGGCTGGAAAGCACATAAGGCCAGGCCGGTCATGGACTGCTGAGGTTGCGACTCGATGGGGCACACAGACGAGTCAGAGGGAAGCCAGGTCGCTGGGGAGAAAGACAAGGATGATGATGCCATGACTCACGAGCCTCGCTGCCCTCTATCGCATTCTCACGGACCCCAGAGGGCTTGCTGGAAGTGACGTTGCTGGCAGTTGCCGTGCTGGCAGTTGCCGTGCTGGCACTCGGCACCAGGCGCACCGCTTCCGAGCCTGCGTACACACGAACGAAAGGCTTGTCAGGAATGATCGGTGGAGGGTGAGATACTATCTGAGCTCTAGTTTGCTTAGGCGGGCATCCGAGTCGGCACGTATCAGCACCCACGAGCGGTATGAACAGTGAGCATGCTTTTGAAAAGCGGTTCGGAATGTGGGGAATAGAGTGAGGGAAGGAGGACTTACAGCAGAGCAGCGCGAGAATCACAGAAGCAGCCAAGTGGAGAGCGAGGAGCCGTGCCATTGCGTTTCGCAGTACCTCGACTAAGAGAGTCTAGGATCTCCTACAATATTCCGTCGCGGAACAGATTAGTTGTGCTCTCTGGTCGAATACCGCCTCTTTTATGCGGTCTGCGACTCGCACGACCGGACTAACCCTCGGTGGTTGTTGATGCACGAGAAGGTTGTTGTGTTTCGGCGCGCGCGGCGAGCAGTGCAACATCCCTATTCACGCGGAACGTGCGGAGGCTCGGTTCACGGTACGGCATGCGGCTTAGCTGCACGGCGGCCTAGGCACAACAGGGCAATACATACTAACGTTGACGTCACGACGAAAAGCAACAGGTCGGGTCGGGAGGTCCTCACTCCCATCAGCGATGCACGAAGCCGTGCGATGATTCGTCCACGAATTTCGCTGCGACGGAGTACAGATGGTGTGTGGCCCCTACCCTTCCCCTCCCCTCTCCCCTTCTCCGCAATCCCCGGTCCAACCTTCTTGATGCCTCAGGAGAAAATGATCCCGTCCCAACCCCCCAAGAAATGATCTGGTAGCAACCCTACACAGGATCGAGGCAGCCTCCCACAGTCCCAGCGACGCCAATCTGCAGCAATGATGTACAGATCAGACCGTAACAAATATCGCCGTTGGCGCATCATCGTACGCTCCATCCGTTGGTGCGGTGGTGTATATTGTGTCAGTAATAACGGACTCGAATGGTGAACTAGAATGGATTGTGAGTACAAATATGAAACCCTAATGTTGTGACCCCCCTATAGGCTAACCCACTACAGCCTACACAAACACAACACATATAATGTTTGACACACCCCCATAGGCAAAGTGGGGGAGACCTAGGGGTCACAAGACCAGTCAAGGCAAAGCAAGGCAACAACAAGCTCAGGGTGGATCTCAAGGATACCACACAAATTCCGAGCACAAGCTAGTGGTCACAAGACCAGTTCACATGCAGGTTTATAACAGAGCATGAGATACAGTGATCACAACCTAGCAAGAGTAAACATGCAGGTAGATATATATATATAGTGATCACAGTACAAGCAAGGTCAAGAGGTAAGTAAGTGAGGTCCAGTAGGCACAAGGCCTAGCAGAGTGCAGAAGCGCTGATGGTCACAAGGCGGAAGCGCCTTGGTGAACACATCAGCAAGGTTGGCCTCAGTGGCCACGTAACGCAGACAAAGCTGACCGCGCTGCTGCAGCTCTCGAGCAAGGAAGTACCGCAGGGCGATGTGCTTCGTTCTGTGCTCCAGTCTGTGCTCCTCACACAAGGCAATGGCAGCCTGGTTGTCGACGTACAGCACTGGAGGAGAACGAGGCCGCTCACCCAAGTCGGTCAGCAGGTAGGTCAGCCAGCGTAGCTCCTGGGCCGCCATGGCTGTGGCGTAGATCTCAGCCTCACAACTGGAGCTGAGAACAGAAGAAGAGCGTGTAGAACGCCAAGAAACTGAGCCGGAGCCAAGGCTGAAGGTGTAACCCTGAGACGACCGCTGAGTAGCCTGGTCGTCCGCCCAAGAAGCGTCTGAGTGTCCAGTAAGTACAACTCGGTCTCGCCCTCCAAGCACTAGCCCCATGCCCGACGTACTGCACAAGTAGCGCAACACCCTCTTAGCGGCATCCATGTGCTCCTTCCTGTGACGGCCAGGAGCGACATAGCGTGCAAGGATGCTAAGAGGGTATGCAAGGTCAGGTCGAGTGTAGGTCATCAGGTACATGAGGCAGCCTACAAGCTCTGGATACGGGCCACTCGGCTCTACGGACTCATCCGAAGGCAGAGCTGAGAGCGAGTGACCGGTAGGCAGAGGAGTGGACTGAGGCGAGGAGTACGTGAAGCGGAAGCGCTGAAGGATCTGCTGCACCATGTGTGACTGAGTCAAGGTGATGGTGCGCCGTGCTCTGTCCCGGGTGATCCGCAAGCCAAGATAGCTTGTCAGTTCACCCAGGTCTGTGCACGTGTGTCTCCTCTGCAGCTCCGACTTCACGTGGGCAAGTGCCGCGGTGTCAGCAGTGGCAAAGACCAAGTCGTCGACGTACACGAGGATGTAGAACGGCGGCAGTGAGGTGTCTGTGCGTAGAAACAGTGACGGGTCAGCAGTAGAGGGAGCGAACCCAAGAGCCGCAAGTGTCGTCCTCAGTGTGTCGTGCCACTCACGCGGTGCCTGGCGGAGACCGTAGACCGGCCGCTGAAGCCTCCACTGGGTACCAGGAGGAACCGACCCAGTGAAGCCAGGAGGGCGGCGCAGCCAGATCTCCTCATGCAGGCTGCCCTGCAAGAAAGCAGTGCTGAAGTCAAGTGAGTGAAGCTCGTAGTCGCGCTGAGCGGCTATGTGCAGCAGCACCCGAAGAGTGGTCATCTTCGGGGTGGGGGAGAAGGTCTGAAAGAAGTCAACTCCCTCTCGCTGACTGAAGCCTCGAGCCACGTAGCGCGCCTTGAAGACAGGAGGAGAACCCGGTGGCCGCTTCACCCTGAAAATCCACATGCCACTGACGATGTTCGCCCCAGGTGGGGGAACCTCGTCGACGTAGGTGCGTGTGGACTTCCAGGAAGCCATCTCTGCGTCCATGGCTGTCTGCCACTGAGAGGAGTAGGGACCCGCCATCGCCTCAGCGTAAGTGCGCGGGGTCGGGATGTCTGGTGCATCCGGGTCTCCCTCAGGGGCAACTAGCATGGACACGAGGTGGGGCAAAGCAGCAGCAAAGCACTGGAACTCCTCCTGTCTGTCCTCAAGGACGTCCGTGCCAAGAGCACACTCACCCCCGACGGACGGAGGACAGACAGACTCAGACTCAGCAACAAGGCCAGTGGCGTAGTCTAGACGACAGGCAGCAGCAAAGTCAACTAACTCAGCGACCAGAGAAGACGCAGCGGTGGACTCAAAGGTAGGGTCAGTGACAGCAGTAGCGAGGAGACGGGTGACAGTGGGACTGGCAGCACGACGGGAGTCAGACTCCGGGTCAGGAAGAGTAGGCAGAGAGGAAGCAGGAGGAGACGGTAGCGGGACACGCTGAGGAGCAGTGGAGGGACGCAGAGTCATGTAGTGAGTGCCAGGGACAGGAGGAGGACGCTCACGTGGGACACGACGACCAGTGCGAGCAGTACGAACAGGCGACGCAGGACTGTCGGAATAGTAGGTACAGTGAGAGGCCATAGCTAGGAGAACCCTAGCTAGGCAAGAGAGATTTGAACGAAAAGAGGGGTTTTGCACTAGCAACAACGGTGGTACAAATAGCTAACCCTAGAAGGGCTGTACTCGCTATAGAGCACCCCACTGCAGGCTAGAGCATAATATTCTGACACACCCCCATAGCCAAAGTGGGGTGTAATCAGCACAGCAAGCAAAGCAGTACAAGCTCAGGGTGGATCACGATGTCACCACACATTCTGAGCACATGAACAAGAAGCAAAAGTTTAAAGTTCACAATTATGGGTAAAGCTAAAGCTGTCACAGAGGGCAAGCGAGGAGGAGGAGGGCTGGTGAGATGAGAGAAGAGTGGAGGCGACGACTGAAGCTGCAGACACTCGGGCAACAGACGGCTCTGGTGCAACGCTGGTGGCTACCGGGAGGAGAAAGGCCCCGGAATACAGGAGTAACAGGCTCTGCAACTGATCAGCCAGCGACAGTAGCAACGGACCCACGGGCGACAGGTGCAACCGGCTCTCTGAGCTACCGGGAGGAGAAAGGCCCCGGAATACAGGTGCTGCGGACGACACGACGGCAACCTCCGCTCAACCTCCTCCAACTGCCCCACACACCCCCCACACACCCACTGCTGAAACCCTAGCTCCATTCCCACGGCACCCCCCTTAAACCCCAAACCCTAGGCTCCCACACACCACCCCCCTCAGCGGCAGCTGTAGCAGAGGGAGACTAGGGAGGAGGAGGAGGAGCAGGGAACGGCACGCAGTGTCTTCACCCCCATACCCCTCACCCCCAAACCCTAATTCAGGAGAACGGGCTGTAGGAGGGGTGGGGCGCCAGTAGAAGCACGGGGGACAGTGGGGAGGGCAGGGGCAGCGAGGAACGGGCCGCCCACGGGCCTGGCACAGCCGCCCGAACCGCGCGCAGGCGGCCCGAGCCGCGCGCGGGCCTGGCGCTTCCCGTACGGGCCGCGCGCGGGCCTGGCGCAGCCCGTACGGGCCGCGCGCGGGCCTGGCGCAGCCCGTACGGGCCGCGCGCAGGCCTGGCGCAGCCCGTACGGGCCGCGCGCAGGCCTGGCGCAGCCCGTACGGGCCGCGCGCCGGCTGTACGGGCCGCGCGCAGGCCACGACGGGCGACGGGAGGCGAGTCGACGGTGGGGGTGCGCGCGGGTCTCCGGAGGCGACGCTAGGGTCGACGGGGGCGACGCGACGTGCAGGGTGGGGGCCGCGAGTGCTCCCCAGGGCGCCGCGACGGACGGGCGGGGTGCGCGCGGGCTCCCCCACGGCTGGAAACCGCCGCGCGCCTCGGCGCGCACGGCGGGCAGGGAACCGCCGCGCGCCCCGAGCGCACGGCGGGATGAAAAATTGAAGGCCGCGCGCCACGGGGCGCGCGGCACAGAGTAGGGCAGCGGAAGCAGTAGTGGGGCCCACAGGCCAAGAGCGTAACCGCTCTAATACCATGTCGAAATAGTAGGTACAGTGAGAGGCCATAGCTAGGAGAACCCTAGCTAGGCAAGAGAGATTTGAACGAAAAGAGGGGTTTTGCACTAGCAACAACGGTGGTACAAATAGCTAACCCTAGAAGGGCTGTACTCGCTATAGAGCACCCCACTGCAGGCTAGAGCATAATATTCTGACAAGGACGAGACTCAGGCTCACGACGCTCTGTAAGACCTCCCGTGGGACCAGTGTAAGGAGAGGGAGCAGGGAGAGGCGAGGCAGGCGGTAACTGTGACGGCGACTGGACAGGCGGAGGACACTCTACTGAGGGAGGAGGACAGGGAGGAGGAGCCTGACCAAGAACCTGCTGAAGAAGTGGTACGAAGTACGGTCGGGGCCGCGTAGCGTCTCCAGAACCAGCAGAGACACCAGCGGCAGGGTCCTCAGCACCAGCAGCAGCTCCACCGTCCGGGTCCTCAACACCAGCAGCAGCTCCACCGGCCGGGTCCTCAGCACCAGCAGCAGCAGCACCACCGCTCGGGTCCTCAGCTCCAGCAGTAGCTCCAACGCCCGGGTCCGCAGCACCAGCAGCAGCGCCACCGCTCGGGTCCGCAGCACCAGCAGGAACTCCACCAGCCGGGTCCTCAGCTCCAGCAGCAGCTCCACCGCTCGGGTCCCCAGCTCCAGCAGTAGCTCCAACGTCCGAGTCCTCAGCACCAGCAGCAGCTCCACCGCCCGGGTCCTCAGCACCAGCAGCAGCTCCAGCGCCCGGGTCCTCAGCACAAGCAGCAGCGCCACCGCTCGGGTCCTCAGCACCCGGAGGACCACTCCGAAGACTGCAGCGGCGTGTGTACCACTCTCGGATCTGCTGAATGGGGGGGAGCTCCTGGGTAGGAGGGGAAGTACCGGGACGAGCTCCAGCAGCACCTCTCCGGAGGCGGCAGTACTCGAGGTACCTCTCCTGCAGCTGCTGGGAGGAGAGGGCTCCTCCAGGTGTAGCACGCTCAGTCTCAGCACCCCCAGACTCAGCACCCCCAGACTCCGCACCGCCAGGCTCCGCAC